CAGTAATCCCCATCTCTTGTCATAACACTGATCCATTGTGTTTAGGTTCTCGAGTATATTTTTAAAATATAGACAATAGATAAAACCATGTGTACTTAAGGTACTCATTTCAGATTTCTCTTTTAAAAGACAGTCTGAAAGATTAATTTGCATTTTCATCTGCCCAATGTCTTCTATAGAGGCCAGTGAAGACAAATGTGACTCAAAGAAAATTCTCTCACCACAGACCAGGATTCCTTGTAAGGTGCGCACCTCTGCCAACCCCTTCAGCAGATCCACACAGCTACGGCCCCAGCTGCTCCTGGGGCAGGGCCATATGGTGTGTGGCTGCCCCATGTGCCAGCACTGGACCTGGGCTGTGGTGCAGCTGCTCCTGGGCTGGGGCCAGGGTACTAAAAATGGGCTCCAGTTCCAGCTCACTAGGCAGCTGCCCACAGTGTGGTCCAGCACCTGGGAGCAGCTGGGGCCAAGATCACAGTAGTAAAAATAGTGCAGCGGCTCAAGTCCCGGCACACGGAGTGTGCTGCCCCATGGGCCAGGACTGGAAGCAGTGCAGCTGCCCCTCAGAATTCCAACTTAGGGTATACTGGAAATGAGCATGCTCAATAAGAGCTACTGTAGCTGCTGCACTTAGGTGGATTCAAATGCTGCTCCCAGCTCTTTACATTCATTAAAAAGGGGCTCAGGGGATGGGCAGGGTGTGAGCAAGGAGCAGAAATTAACCGGCCTGGGGGTCAATTACATTTATGGTGCCGCAGAATGGGGGTTGGAAGGGAAAATCAGGCAAGGGGGTGACTGGAGCTGGGGGAGATGCAGCCAGCCCCTGTGCAGGGGTTTTGCCCCTGCAGGGAGGGACAAAGGCGGGGTTGCGGTGAGGAATGTGCCTCGTGTGGTGGCCGCTTGATTCCAGCTGGAGCCAGGCAGCCTGCAGGGACTGGACTGCAGCACTAAAAATAGCACCATAGGTGGCCCCAGCTCCAGTCCCAGCAAGCAGTCCTGCCCCTGGAGCAGCTCGGACCGGGGCTGCAGGGGCTTCTGCAGCAGAGGGGAAGGGGAGGAAAAGAAAGGGGCAGGCATCAAGGGGCAGGATGGAGGAGACACAAATTCCAGAGGGCCAAGAGGAGACAATGAGGAAAAGGGCAGAAGGAGGAGGGGGTGGAAGGTGTCAGTGAGGGTGGAAGAGGGGAGGAGACAAGGTTATGCTGGGCGAGGAGAGGGGAGGGGCAAGAGGAGGAAGAGGAAAGGGGAGGAGTGGGTGCTGGGAGATGAGGGGTTGAAAGGAGGGGTGCACATGAGGAAGGCAAGGGATGGAGCAAGTCATGTGTGAGGGATCAGAGGGGTGTGAGGAGAACTGGGGCAGAAGGAGTGGGCACCAGGGAGAAAGAGGGCAAGGAGGGCAGGTAGTGGGAGGCACCAGGAAGGTGCAGGTTCCAGGGGATTGTGGGGGTGAAGCAGAAGGGCAGACAGGGAGGGGAGGGGAGAGGCAGGGCAGGTGGGTAGAGGGAGGTGTCAGGAGAGGGGATGGGGAGGGGTAGCTACTGGTGATCAGAGTGGGGCTAGAGGAGGAGTGGGCACGGGGGGAGAGAAGGGCTGGTGCAGGGGAGGGGGCAGGTCCCAGGAGAATTGAGAGGAGTGAGAAGGGCAGGAGCCAGAACAGCAGAGGGGGGTGAGGGGCAGCAGGCACCAGGGGAGCAGATGGGGGAGGTTGGGAGACATGGCAGCAGAGGGGAAAGGTCGAGGTTTATAAGACATTTATTAATAACTTGGGTGCCACAGTGGCACATCCGAACAAGCCACATGAACTCAGCACTGGTGCACAGGACAAAATTCACTCTGCTCAGGGGAGGAAACACTTCCCCCAGCCTCTCCCCCTGAGTTACTGCCATGCAAATTGGGTTAATGCAATTGCCGGATAGTTGCATGGGAGAAGGGGGGGGGTCCTAACTCATCCCTATTGATAGGAGGATGGTGGGAGGAGTTCTTAGTGACCCACACGACACCCTTTACTTCTGGTCATGTGTCCATCTTGACCCCAGGAATGCTACCTTCAGGGGTGGGACTTTTTGTGGCAGGGGATGTGGCTAATGGGGTCAGGGGCATGGCTAACTGAAAGTATACAACTTAATTTTACTAATAATTGACACGATTAATTATAGCATACATTATAGCATAAATGAAACATTGTACTCAAGGACTTTATTTAATGGTACTTCAGCTGTTGCATCTTTTTGCACATTTCTTTGAAGTTTATATCATAACGGGTCAAATTTATCTTCATGCACACACTCAGGCTGTCGTCTGTCAATCTTGAGTGCAAATTGCCTTTGATGTGATTCAAATGAGAGAAGGCCTGCTCACACATGTTGGTGGAGCCAAACATTGAGGCTACATCTACACTGGTGGCTTCTTGCGCAAGAACTCTTTTGAATTCATGTAGGTGGAGCCAAACATTGAGGCTATGTCTACACTGGCATGTGCTTTTCTGCAAGAGATGTGCTTTTGCACAAGAGCATCCATGCCAGTGTAGACGCTCTCTTGCACAAGAAAGCTCTGATGGCCATTTTAACCATAGGGGCATCTTGCACAAGAAATTCATGTTGCCTGTCTACACTGCCCTCTTGTGGAAGAGCTCTTGCATAAGGGCT